TTTCTCTGTTAAATGAAGAGGAAATTTCTACCAGCTCTCTCACCTTAAAAGAAAAGCCTTCTCATTAATCACATGAAAGGGGGGAGGGGAGTCATAGTCTTAAGTTCTCCAGTATAATAGTACAACTCAAGGAAAACACAACATTTCGCCATTAGATATTTTTGGTAAAAAGGTTTCTTGAAATTGTTGCCCATTGTACTAACTAGTATGATAAAAACCACATTTCTGGGATCACAGCAAAGGAAGGGATTTTCAGGGGAAGACAGTCATTGTGAATTTTCCGTAACAGAACGGGACTGTAGCAGTGGTCATAGGCATCTGAAAAGAGCTCTGAAGGTCTAAGAAGAGGGGGCAGTCACAGACGTGGTTCCATTTTCATGAGCACATCCTGGATGAGTCCACCTGGACCCCCATGTCTAGGACCACTTCCTAAGACTAGTTTGGCTTCTTGCATGGATAAGGGCCTTTGAAAACTACCTGCCGTAGGCCATAGAAAACAGTATTTTAATTACTCTTCTTTAGGTAATTATCTAGTCAGTTACAAGAAAACCAAACTTAGCCATTACTTTTTTGTTGTTAAAAAACTTTTGAAAATTGTATATGGAAAATTCTAAACTTTTTCTCTGATCAAAGTTCTTTTTCGTATAATTTCTTTAATAAGAAGAATATGATGAAAGACTTAATATATTCTAACAATTTGGATATCATTGCAAAAGCTGGGTGAATGTGGAAAACTACACTTTCAACTGCTCAGGGAAAATAATTAGTAAGTATGCTCAGTAGGAAAAGGAAGAAACAGTTAGAGACACCTGGCTGCTTCCCTCAGGACATTTACAGTTGCTGCTCCATCTTCCTGAAAGTTCTTACTGCTCATAGCTTGTGTTGAGTCATCATCCAGATCTCAGGGCAAATGTCACCTCCTCAGAGAGGCATTCCTGATACTCATTCCTGACCCTCAATTGAGTCTCCCCACCCCAACTCTACTGCAAGTCACTGTACAACATTTGTTGGTTTTAATTTCTTCTTAGCACTTATCAAGATCTGAAGTCACTTATTTATATCTTGCTATCCTAGTATATCTATCTCCCCAACTAGATTGTGAACTCCAGAGTAGTGACCTTGTTGGCCTTTTTTCACTGAATTCTAAGACTAGTGTCCTGATAGCTGTGGAATGAAAATGAGATAGCACAATTGTCAGACTTATGAAAACAAAAGAACTAAATAGGTAGACCATTTTGAACAGCTTGAGGGAGAGTAAAGCCTTCAAAATTCCACTACAGTAGAAACACCATTGCAATGTGCTGCCATTAGCTATTAGATTTGTAATTGTTCATCCATAGCATGTGCTTGTTATGAGCTGTGTTTGTCAATACCACAACTTTGGGAATCCTAAGGTAGGTAGTACATAGGGGGCTCTTTACCAGATTCTAGAGTGCTGGCATCAAACAGGACATTTCTGTCACACTAGATGTATCAGGATGTTTTGGCTTCAAGGTATTAAAATCCTGATTCAACCTCAATGGTTGAATGCGGACCTATGAACCACGAGGTCACCATTCAATTCCCCGTCAGGGTACCTGCCTGGGTTGCAGGCTTGATCCCCAGTATAGGGCATACAGGAAGAAACTGTTCAATGATTCTCTCTCATCATTGATGTTTCTATTTCTCTCTCCTCCTTTCCTCTCTGAAATCAATAAAAATCTATATATATAAAAGGCTAAGCGACCCTCCAACTGGCTGACTGGCCAGTAGCTATGACATGCACTGACTACCAGAGGTAGGACACTCAACACAGGAGCTGCTGAGCTGCAGTGACTTGGCAGCTGCGGTTTCTTGGGAGATGCACCCCAAAACCAGAGAGGAAAACCACCCTCTCACAATCTGGGACCCTTCAGGAGATGTAGGAGAGCCAGTTTCAACCTGATCCCTGCATGCCAGGCCAAGGGACCCCACCTGCCAGAGGGACCCTGTTCACTTTGCAGATGCCCAAGTGGCAGTGCGGCTGGCCAGGGGGGGACTGCAGAAGGTTGGCACCAGGGTGTGTCTGGCATGTCTTGCCCAGTGCCGCCCTGCCACCCACCTTCTATTTAATTTCCTTTTAATGTGCATGAATCTGTGCACTGGGGCACTAGTATTTAAACAAACAAATAACTAAATATCTTGATTATGAGTCCAAGCATGAGTTTTATGGAAGGACTGGATCAAAGTTGGTTGTTTTTGCAGCTCAATATGCCATCAAGGACTCAGTCTCTCCATCTATGTCTGCCATCATTCAATGTCATCCCATCCAGGCAGGACAATGTTTGAGAATGAAGAGAGAACACTTCCTATCTTTCCCTAGACTTGCCCCAGTAGACTTCCTCTAGGGTCTCATGGGCCATTTGGGGGTATATATCCATTGTTGAAATGAGTCACTGGTGAGGGAATGAGATTATGAGGAAAAATCAGGCTTGTTCCTGAACTGGGAGTTGTCTTCCTTTCTTTTTTTTAATCTTCATTTTATTAATCTAGAATCTATTTGTTTTTCTTTTCTTTTTAATTTATATTTTATTTTTTAAAATACTTTTTATTGATTTCAGAGAAGGATAGGGAGAGAGAGATAGAAACATCAATGATGAGAGAAAAATTGTTGATCAGCTGCCTCCTGCATGCCCCCTATGGGGAATCCAGCCTGCAACCTGGGCATGTGCCCTTGACCAGAATCGAACCTGGGATCCTTCAGTCCTCAGGGCTATGACCCTGGGCCCTTCAGTCCTCAGGCCTATGCCCTATACATGATCCAAACTGGCTAAGCTGTATCCCTTTCCCATGGTGTGTGGGGATTACTTGGAATAGCCGGCATCTGCACAGTATTGATGTTCTTTAGGGAGTGGCGAAGGTGAGAAGTGCTTTATACTTCATCTATTGTTCCTTTGTTTGGAAGCAGTAGATAATTATGTTACTAAAACTTTCCCCCTAAATTTTATACTGTTTTATCTGATGAGTAAGGACTAGTTCAAGATTCTAGAGGTTTATCTTGTGCACTAGTTGGTAGGATTGCAAATTTTGGCCACTATGGAAAATAGTATGGAGGTTCCTCAAACAATTAATTGATTTCAGAAAGGAAGGGAGAGGGAGAGAGAAACATCAATGACGAGAGAGAATCATTGATCAGCTGCCTCCTGCATGCCCCTATTGGGAGCCTGCAACTTGGGCCCTTAATCAGAATTGAACCTGGGACCCTTCAGTCCACAGGCCGATGTTCTATCCACTGAGCCAAACCAGCAAAACCAGATCTCCTTAAACAATTAAAAATAAAACTACCTTATGACCCAGCAATTCCACTTCTGGGTACTTATTTGAAGAAATCCAAAACCTTAATTTGAGAAGATATGTGCATGCTGATGTTCATTGCCGCATTAGTTAAATTGCCAAGATATGGAAGCAACTTAAGTGCCCATCAATAAATGATTGGATAAAGAAGAGGTGGTACAAAAAAACAATGGACATAAAAAGAATGAAATTTTACCATTTGTCACAAAATGGATGGATCTAAAAGATATGTTAAGTGAACAAGTCAGACTGAGACAGACAAATACCATATGATTTCACTTATATGAGGAATCTAAAGAACAAAATAAACGAACAAACAAAACAGAAAGAGACTCATAAGACACAAAGAACAAACTGACAGTTGCCAGATGGGAGAGGATTGAGGGGCTGGGTGGAAAAGGTGAAGGAATTAAGAAGAACAAATAGGTACTTAGTTATAAAAGAGTCATGGGATGAAAGGACAGTATAGGGAATATAGTCAATAATATTGTAACGACTATGTATGGTGCCAGATGGGTTCTTGAAACATTGGGGGAATCACTTTGTAAATTATACAAATGTCTAACCACTATCTGTACACTTGAAACTAATGTAAAATAATATTTAATGTCAACTGTAATTAAAGATAAATATCCTAGAAGTTGATGCAGACTGGAGACCCATACAATTACAGTCCTTTGGATTAAGTCCAAGCTTCTGCTCAGGAGATTGAGGAGGAACACCTGTTTTAGTGTACTCATGCTGCTGACCAAGAGGGGAAGAGGAGGAGGCTTGGGGTCCAGTTTTTAGCCGTTTTAATCCCATGGCCTGTCCTTAGAGTAGTGCAGTCTATTCTGGAGGACCCATCCCATTTCCACTTGGGTCTTTATTACTTGATTCTAGCCTTCTTCCTCAAAGTCAAAGGAAAACAATTTGGAGATAGTTTGGGGATTTGAGGAGAGTGAGTTGTCAAGAGTGGAGGGAATGGGGCAACCATTCCATTTCCTGTTCACCCGAGCTATATGCTGTTTATTCTGATCAAAGTAACTTTTGCCTTTTATATAATTCTCCTGGAGTTTTATTTTTCCAGGTCCCTCAACAAGGTGAGTCTAAGAGCAGAATAGATAATAAGATAATGTGAATGAAGAAATAATCAAAACCCCACAGCCTCTACACTATCCCCAGTTAATACATAAATATGGTTGAAATGCAAGGGGTGTGCCAAGCCAGGAAATGTCATGGTGTTGTGAGACTTTGATGATGTATTCTGAATATTTTTTTTTTTTTTTTTTTTTACATCTTAAAACACTTGGTAGTAGATTTTAAAAGTGAGGAGGCCTATCCTTGCTTTTTGTTATTTGTTACTTGTACCCTGATAGACTTACATTATCTACTAAATAAACTGCCAACTTGGGATTCTTCCCTCTCCTCATTCCATATCTGATTAGAGACCTAACTGCCCTTTTTCTTTATGACAGCCACCAACTTAGTCTTGGCCCTCATCACATTACAAAAAAAAAAAAAAAAAAAAAAAAAGCCTTTTGTTCTTGAATTATTACCCAAATATTTTTCAAGTGCCTCATAAATAAAGATCATTGTATCTATCTTTGATGTCTTAGGATAGCTAGCATTAGACCATACAGAAAGAGTAGAAAAATTGATGTTTATTGATTTCTTTTTGATATTTTCTGTTCTGCATTTGGTTTTAGATTCTGGACTGAAGAAATTTTGTGCCAAAAATAAAGTTATCATCCTTGGCTTCATCTGTATCATGGCTGTGATTGCTTTGATCGCTGTGGGGCTGACCCAGAACCAATCATTGCCACAAAATGTTAAGGTAACTCAAATCTCTCTCTCTCTCTCTCTCTCTCTCTCTCTCTCTCTCTCTCTCTCTCTCTCTCTCTCTGTGTGTGTGTGTGTGTGTGTGTGTGTGTGTGTGTGTGTGTGTGAGGGGGCCTGGGCAGAGTGAAAAAGGAGGTCACAACAAGTGAGAACATACAGGAGTTGAAGTTCTGGCATCTCCAGGGGTAAGTTACTATCTATTGGATTAGAGAAGTAAAATGGAAATGGATGCTCATTCTGGAAGAGGGAATGACTTAAAACAATTAACCATGGGAAGATAACTGTCTTTATGATTGTTCAGCAAATTAAATAAATAATAGAAACCAAGGCTTTATCACCACATCCACATCTGTGTTATACCGTGCTGATATTCTACTATCTAGTGCTGTATCTACTTCTTACTAATTGTTTCATTGTGGATGTGTCACAACACTGTACTCATTGTTCTTCTTACTTATTAGTTAAGAAGGTTCTTTACTATTTTAGTGATAATCCTTACTTCCATACTGTCACCAAAATAATTGGAAAGCTTTGTATAAAGCACTTTGAAAGTTAAAGATTGTCGGGAACATTTGGTCTTCATCTTTAAAATATCAAAAAACACATCAAAATCAATTTTAAAAAGCCCAAAGAAACAAGTATCAATTAGAGTAATTATAAATGAATTTTTGGATAGATTTCTTGTGAAAATGTATCCACATCTGAAGAGCTAGTTAATATTATTAAAAATAATTAGGGTAATTAACCCTGTTGTAATTTATTTCTCCTTCCTTTCAAACTCATCAAAGTAAAATTTCAAAGACATAACTATCTCACAAGCAACTTGTAATATGACCAATATTTTATTTAATCCATTAATTAGAAAGCATGTGGTAAATTTAAATTTATGTTGTAAATACACCATTTTAATCTTTCACTGAAATTACAGTAAATAATCTACAAGGATATACCAGACTATCCTGCTATGCTAATGAGCATATATGTGCATGTGGGTGGTAACATATACATTAGTTAACTTAATCATAGAGGCCCTGGACTACATGTGCAGAAGAATGTTTTTTTTTTTGTTTTTTTTTGTAATTTTGAAGATATTAAATTGTGAGCCTGGCATGTGGATGCATATGCCAGGCTGCTGAAACGTTTGCCACACACCCAAATCACTTGCTACACAGCAGAGGCCTGCATGTTACATTGGCATCTGTTTGCCATACAAATTCAACTGGAACTGGGCACAGCAGCTCCTTTGTCAGCACGGAAAGCTGATACTATCTCATTGGCAATGATCTCTTGCCTTTTAATGTTGTGTGATGTCGGTTCTTTTGGCAAAACTTCACTCACAGTTGAAGCCTCATGACATCTCAGTTCTGTTATTTGTTTACCAGTTCCAAAAGTACATGATTGCCTTCTTGGTTTGACCTTTTTACATATTCTTTATTGCATCATTGGAGAAGGGGACCGCCAAGGAGGCAAAGTCTATGACAGACTTGAGCTCTGTGTTCCTAATGAATACTTGTCTTGGATGACCTTCTCTTCTTCTCAGTGGTCATCTTAAAGTCTGTTGTGACTCATGTTGTTGTGTTGGCCTGGCAAAATGGAATAAGGTCTTTGGCATTCTTTAAATAAAAGGTATAAATATTCGACAAGCTGACAATGGCATCTGAAGTGAATCTTTATAGCAATATCACTGGTTTATTTTGCTCAAAGATTATTTTATACATGCATTTGTTGAGGTTATACAATAATTCTAATAAGGTTCCTGGCATATATTGAGGGCAAATATATTTAGGAACTTGTCTTTGGTGATCAATTTAAGCTATGTATGCTGTTGAATTTAATAGTCTTAGGCCACATGCAGCTCTTTCAATCCAAGTTAATGAAAATCAAATCAAATAAAAAATTTTGTTCTTCATTTGCATTAGCCACATTTCTAGTGCTCAACAGCTTCATGTGGCTGGTGGCTAAAGAATGAACAACTCACACAGAACATTCCCATCACTGCAGAAAGTTCCATTGGACATTGCTGCTTTAGAACACACTCTCTGATAGTTTCTCTGAAATCACTCAAAGCTAAGTTTTATGAAGAAGGTGAATGATAAAACATGTTTAAAATCTGAAATTAGGAATAATTATTGAGTCTTTTTTATGTGTTGGTTGTAAATTAATACCAAATATCATGAGCTACTAAACTGTTTTGAGCAGTTTTTTAAAAATAAATATATTTCCTTCCAAAAATGTTGAGTTAAAAATAACACATTTAGATATTCCTGTCTGGTACATTGTTTAGAGAGTTAGAAACCTCGATCAACTGCCTCCCCCCCCCCCCCCAACTGGTGATATGCCCACAACCAAGGTACATGCCCTTGACTGGAATCGAACCTGGGACCCGTCAATCCACAGGGTCTAGTAGTAGACACTCTATCTACTGATAGAATATCAGGTATTGGGCTACAGAATTGGGAGGCCAATATAGCTATGTTTGAGTTTATCATCTGGGGAAGGAAATGCATTTAATAGATGACACAAATTATTAGTTACTATTGTGATGAGTGCCACCAAATGAAAGTTTTGAGGACCAAGGAAGTCTTCCTTGAAAAACAAATGACATTAACAATAATATCTGAAGTATGATTAGAATTAGCTGGAAGTAAAGAGCATTCTAGGCAGAAGGAAAGCAAGTGCAAGAATCCCACAGCAGGAAATAGCTGGATACATTCGGGAAGTTGGTTGGAGAGCAAGAAGGGCCATGTGTTGGATAAAGATGGTGAGGGAGTTGGTGGTGGCAGGGCCTTGCAAGTCAGGTTAAGGTTTTTAGTTTTATTATATATGTGCTGCCAAAGCGAGCACAAGGTTTTTAGTTTTAATACTAAGCCAATGGGAAGTCAATAACATGATCAGATTTGTGTTTGAAAAGATCACTCTGGCTGCAGTGAATTAGGGGGAGGAGGGATAAAAGCAGATACAGGAGATTAGGTAAAAGGCTATTATACGGTAGTAGTTTGGGAAAAGGCGAAGGTTTTGAGTTACATTTTTGAAGAATTGTTTTTGAGGTATTGAATATGCAAGTGGAAATGTCAAAGAAGCAATTGAATATTAAGCTCTGGGTCTCAGAGAGGAGACCCGCCTGCTCAATAGGAATATTATAAGTCACATTTTAATTTTTCTAGGATCTACATTTTTAAAAAGTAGAGGAGGTGAAACTTTAGTACTGTGATAACTGGGACAGTGAACTGAGGTTTTTTTCCTCAGGGTTGTGTCTCAGAACGCCAAAGAATGAGCTCCGAGGACCAGAAGATTTAAGCAAAAGTGTGGAAAATTTATTACCAGCAGATTCAGACTCCCCGGAAGGGGAGGGGCCCAGTAATGGGCTGCCTGTGAAGCCTAGTGGTCCAGGGGTGTATGTTTGCCACCTGCTGCTCTATGTCTATCTGAGGCGTCACCTGCCTGACTCCCTCATTGTTCTTGCCCAGCACAGACCTGAACTTCCCCTGTTTCTAAGCATCAGTTCATCTTATGGTTGCCAACCCCGCCTAGTTTCACATGCCTCCTGCTTTGAATCCAAAAACATTTTGTTATTCCTGCTTGGTGGGTTTCTGTGATTAGGCGTACTCAAACTGTTGTCTGCCCCTGCCTATGTTCCACCTGCCTTTGCTTTCCACTGACCCCTGTCCTGCCTGCATGTCAAGCTGATTCCTTTCAACTGTATTTTATATAACTCAATATATCCAAAATACAGGGGTGGGCAAGGTAGGTAAAAACTGTGCCTAAGTGTGCTTAAGAATAGCAAGTAGATTAGAGCAATGTGTAAATAATGAAGACCAGCAACTTGAGCACTTAACGAGATTGTACCTAAGTTCACTCTGCCATTGTGAAATTCTTTTGAGTTAATAAAACTATTGTAACAAACATAGCCTGCATGTCTTTTACCTACAAACAACTGTAAACCTACTTTTGCCCACCCTGGTATTATTATTTCAACATTTCATCACAGTAAAGAATTAATGAGATATTTTATACTCTTCCCCCCCCCCCCATACTCTCTTAAATTTCCCTGTGATTTTTCACTTATAGCACATCTCACTTCAGACAAGTCATACTTCAGGTGCTCAACAGCCACATGTGGCAAGTGACTACCTTATTGGACAGCACAGATCTAGACAAAAGCTATGTCTCTGAGATCATTGATGCATTGAAGCCTTAGAAATGAATGAGATCATAGGAAGTGGGTAAAAGGAGAAAAAGAAAACAGCAAGGATCTAGTCCTGAGGAATTTTCTCATTTAGAGGTTGAATAGTAAAGGAATACCTCCTAAATCACAGTGATAACATTGCCTTATATAGCGCTATGGCTATGCAGTTTGTGAATCATTTCCACACTAAGTTCGATTTCTTCTTCCCAGAAGCGCTGTGAAGAATGAAAAATTATCCTCATTTATATATATGAAATCAATAAAAATGAATATTTAAAAAAAATAAATAAAAAGGAAAGAAAAAACAATAATGCTAAATAGATTAAAGATTATTCTCATTATATATATATATCCTCTTGCCTAACCTAGTATTGGTTCAGCTTTGCTGGGCAGGTGTGGCCTCATGCCTGGGTTACTTCTGGCAAAACACAAGAAATCTTTAATGTAGTGATGTGTTTACATATCCAACTACTAAGCATACTGAGGACAAGGACTGTGTTTCATTTTTCTTGGCATATATTTTATTATTCATTTCATTCATTCATTCAGTCAACAAATAGTCATTGACTATCTACTCTATTTTAGGCCCTGGGATTTGACAGTGAGCAACACTGGCAAAGCCCTAAATGGAACTTACAGTCTGATGGAAGAGATAATCACTAACCAAATAATCACAAAATAAATGTTAAATTGCAACCAGTACAGCATCTGACTTGGGTGGTTGCCTCATAAAAGTTTGCTGGCTCTGTGAATAGAGTGAACAGGTAAACCTGCTCCCTGCTTGGATGGGAAGAACCTGTGAAGGGCCA